AAATAAGTTTGTAAGTAGTAATGTAAATTTATTTAAATGGTTATTATTAAGCAAATCAATATTTTAAAGCAGAGAACTATTTAAATATCATATAAAAATATTTTTCGTTTGAAGTTTGTCCGGTCAATCGATGTTTGCAATCTGCAATAGAATCGACAATCAACAAGGCGATATAAAAATGTAAAAAAAAAATCTATTCCGAACGACATGAATGTTTAACGGCTGAATAGCAAATCGGACTGTTGAATGTCTCATCGATTTAAAAATTGCTATTGAGGGATGTTGATTGCGAGTGTTTGCACATAGTTTTGCATCATGATTGGGCGTTTTTAAATTTATTGTCATATTGTTCGCTCTTCACCGTTCGATGACGGTTACCGAACGAACAACATAGTTTGTTCTTGGGGAAATACTTTCTGTTTCTGTAAACTCGCTCGCTCAACGTTAAATAACTCGATATTGTTCATATACATAAAATAATGATAGATGACTTTAATTGGCGACTTACGTGTGTTCAGTATTAGTTAGTGTTCAAAACGTTATAAAGTTTAATAATCGAAATCGAACGAGAAACGACTGACCCAATATTGTTAATATTTATTTTATTGTTAATAATAATTTTATTATATATAATTTTATTAAATGCAATTTAACAAAGTCAAATAACAAACAATAAAACGTGTTAAAGATATAACTCTTGACTGAGATAACACCTTGCTCCATAGAGCCTTACTTTCATAGTTGTTTCAACTCCCACTAACCAGTCAGTCTCCATTGTATGTTACCTTTTTCTTATTATACAAAATATTATATGCTCTGATTAATTATACGTTGTATTATCTCCTATTAAGCTGCTTTAAGTCTGTAAATTTGCTGTCTCGTCGTTAGCTACTATTATAACTTGACTATTTTTATAATTATATACCTACTTTAACACATATCTGTATGCAACCTATATTTACTTATACCTCCCAATCTAAATTATCATCTACATAAAAATATTTCACCTTCAGCTGCGTTACATTGATCAAGAAAAACGACTCAAACATATTCATGTCGATCACACTTCTAGATTATTCGATTAGTTTGAAATGAATGAAATTTCAACAATGTTTAAGATTTGGCGGAATAATTTTTATAAATCAATTCGTCTTAGTTTTCATATTTTTAAAAAATGGAATATTTTTTTATACTCTTGATATTATTATTGTATCAAAGTTATTCTGACTTTCTCACAATTTCGATGTTACAACATTTCATTCCCATTAAACGTTACTTTGGAGACGAACATAGATACATACTCACATTTCCTTTCTCTACGTATGATTCCTCAGTTCTTTAGCAATGAAATTCTTCATGAGGATAAATTTACTCCGTTGTAACAACTGGTTTGAGTGCAACTCAATAAAATGCAATTTCTTCAATATCACATTTACATCATTTTGCAACATTTAATTTGTTTTTTTATCTCAATTTATTCAACCATAACTCTTCAATTGCAATCTGATGTATGTAAGTAGTAGAAATGATACTTCTGTTTGACTGAGAAATGTAGAAGCGTATTTAATTAATTTGTTCATTAGTCTTGTACGCTCTACGAACAACAAACAAATCGATGAAAAAAAATATTCAGACGTTTAAACGAATGAATTAGCAATTGCCCAAATTAATTTATTGACCAAAAGAGCAAATGAATGTGTTTTGGCGTGTTTGATGCGACGTTCAATTAAGCCCAGCACATAAAATACGTTATTAACTTGTAGGTACTAAAATTACATTAGCATTTTTGTTTGTCTTGTTTCGTCTGATACCATTGGTTAAAACAAACTGTTAAAGTTTTTTGGTCACATCATGCAAAAGGAAATGAAGTCCTTGTGCCACTTGTTGAATACCACCACATTTCAACTACTACAAAGTGTTGAAGATCGGGTTTTGTGGGGTTTTCCAGTGTTCTGAAAGAAGTTTAAACACAGTGGTTATTATACACAATTCTATTAAATTATGACTAATAAATTAAGCTAGATGATTTCAGTAATTCAGACAATTAACAAAATATTAATTGATCGGCTGATAACAAGTCCAACCTGTTTTTTTTTTCATTTTGAGAGACATGTTATCTACCAGCATGCATCTACCATGACAAACGATCCATCGCTCCCATGAGATGGCTCATATAGTAATACTTATCAGAGATCATGCAATTATAATACAATACGATACGATACAATATAATTCAATACGACACAATATAATATCCATACAATGCAATACAATACGATACAATACGATACGATACAATACAATACAATACAATACATTAGAATACAATACAACACAACACAATGCAATACAATACTATAAGATATGTCGACACATTTCGCTATCTGAATCGCTTCTTCGCTATATATTTAATTTAATTTTAAAAACTCATTGAAGCTAAAATATATCTCAAATGCAGTTTCTGTTCTTAATAGTAAAATCAAATTTGTATTTCTGTCTAAATAAACATCATCCATTTCATTTCAGCATGGTAGTTTGTTTGTGATATTTATTTCAATAAATAGTAAAAATTTTATGAATGTTTTACGAGAGAATGAAAAATTTGTTCAGGAATGTCTGCTTTTTATTTTAATTATAAACAAATTTTGTGAAAAATAATACAACACAGTACGATACGATTCAATTCAATACAATACAATACAATACAATACAATACAATACAATACAATACAATACAATACAATACAATACAAAACAATACAATACAATTCAATATAATACCATACGATACAATTCAATTCAATACAATACAATACAATTAGATACAATTAGATACAATTCAACACATTACAATATAATACGATACAATTTAATACATTTCGATGCAATACAATACAATACAATTTCGAAACTAATGCCATATTGGTTATAAAGTTTCCTCCTTTGATTGTTACTTTTTAACACATCACCTTTGAACAGTTAATAATCTCAACGTAAAAATGCATTGCAATTTATTTTTTCCTATGCTAACAGTCATTTTTATTTGGATACAATTTTTTGTTGCTTGTTTTGTTATAATACTGTCGTTCATTATGTGTTTGTCATTTTGATTATGTATGTTTTTGTTTTTTGTTGCTGTGAAAATTTTTGTATGTTTGTCAATAAATAAGTGTCTGTTTGCGATATGACCTGAAATCAGCTAGAACTCTGCAAACAGAAAAATTTAAATGGTTGTAAAAATATTAAAAAGTCAAAAAACGTAATTTTTTTAAAGTTTAAAAAATTAAAAAAAATGTTTACAAATAGTTGAATTGGAAAAAACCTCTTACGAAACTTTTACATCCGACAGAACTTGAAGAGTCAGGTGTTCACGACGTCTGGCCTGCTCATCCTGGTTAGTCCTAACATTTCAATACTCACCATTTATATGTCAACTTGTCTATTTCCGACAACTAACCTAATAAATTTCAAGAACTTCTTCAGAAGCATTCAAAATTTTAAAAATATACTTCAAATGCCATTTTTTTTTACAAAAAATTTATCCATTCACACAACCAATCTGTTGCAGATTTAGCTACATAAAATATTTAAAAATATTCCACTAAAATGTTTCAACGTCTAATATTTAACTTTTGTTACAACAAAACGATTTTTAATTCAAATACTAATAATGCTTAGGTGTGCAGACTGACTTTCAACTATGCATTTTAAATCATGCTTGCAATAACTTGCATTCACCGAGCCATTCGCGGTCGAACCAAGCCAGTGCCCAACAGATTACAGAGTAAAGACCACCCTATTTAATTTGCTAGTTGAATAAAATATAAATATAATATAATATAAATATAAAAGCTGTATGAACTTCATATAAATACACTCGTACATACATGTATAAGTTGAATAAGGTACTTATTTATATATGCTTGTCATAAATATACCTGTCTATTATTTATCCGTCCAATTTAACACGTAAAACTTTAAAATGCGACCAACAGTAGTTTCCACCAGTTAGGAACATTAACGGATAAAATGCAGCAAAACAAGTTTTTGAGACAATCTATGTTTAGTTTAAATTATTAATTATTGTCTGTAGCATTCAGCTGCAACATCCACTCGCGCGGAAGATTTCATTAGATGCACTCACTAGGTTTTCAACTTCAAATTAATGGCAAACAAACTTGATATTGTCAATTATCATTATTTTCTACTATTTTGATGCATACAATTTTGAAGTTCGTCAGCTTTTAATCTTTGATATTTCTTAAATGTAAAGTGATCTGCCACAAACTGTGACAGAGAATTGAGTTGTAACTTGATATAAAATTGGGCAGAGATGACAAAAGAAAAACGTTTATATGAAAAAAATGTTTACACAAAAGAATCACATTTGTTTGTCCGCATACAAATTAATGTATTATTTTTCTTTGCAGCCTGCTTTTTAAAACTTTCGCAATATTTTTCTGAAACAATATTTCAATCATTCATGTAGAATAACCTACATTCATAATTTATATTTTTCATTGATAACAATTATTAAATTCACGAAAAAATTTCCAGGAATGGGTAGATGAGAGGTTGAGATGGAATAAAAGTGAATTCAACATGGAGGATATCGTGGTGGAGGCCAGGAAACTCTGGAGACCCGAGTTTGCTTCCATCAAAGGGTCAGTCTCATTTGAATGTGCCACCTCCTTCATTGCCGACCAACATATTTTTTGGCGAAATTTATTTATTTATTTGTTCGTTGCTGTAATTTGTTTATTGTTTTTTTTATAAATTTTTTTGAATGATATTTTATGAATTTTTTTTTGATAAAAACCATCTAAGCTATAAAAACTATAAATAGAAACAGCAAATAGTTAAATCTTTAATAACATAAAAGAATTAAATGCATGTTGATAAAGAATGAAGAACACATTTAACTGACAAATGACCTAACCACGCTTTCTTATTTGCATTCAACCAGAGCAGAAGACATCTACAAAGAGTTTGGTCAGTTCAGGGCCGTGATACAACACGATGGATCGATCCATTGGGAGCCAGGAGGGGTGTTTAAAACAATTTGCGAGATCGATATAACTTATTATCCGTTTGATGAACAGTGTTGCACCATAACTTTCGGAGCCTGGTCCTACCACACATCCAAAATGAACCTGACAAACAGCATCGATAAAGTTAACCTGGAGTCGCTGGAGAGAAATGGGGAGTGGGACATTTTTAGGACGGTGGCTCTTAGAAGGGAGGTCAACACAACGACGTCCAACGAAAGGTTACAACCTCTTCATATATTTCAATTAATCCTTTATAAATTTACATTTTATATTTAAGTTGATTGTTTCATTAGTTATAAATCCGGCCATTTCCAGATTTTGGAGGTCATCAATTTTCATGTTTGAGTGGTTTTATAAAAATAAGCGAAATATTCAAACTTTCCAGCATTATCTGTCAAAAAATAGTTTAGCAGTTTTTGCAAATTTTAGCTGAAAAAAAACTAGATTATAAAAATTATTATTTAGTAATTTTTGTGTATTTATGTGAACTTGTTTGTTTGTCTTTCTTATTTGCAATTCCCATTGAACCTACGGACATAATTGGAATATAATCTATTGAATACGCATTAGGTTTTACATCTTTCTTAAAATTGACATTTACATTTGAAACAATCAAAATATTACAAATTGTTGCCGCTTGGGGGGACATCAAACGTATCCACAGAAGAAGACATAAAAAATGGTTGCATTTTAGTTCGAATGTTTTGCAATCAATTTCATCTGACAACACGATCAATCTTTCATCTTTTCGAACGATGGAAACATACACTTTCCGGGAATCCTAACGTGTGACTTGGGACCAAAAATTAAATATAACGCATTTTCAGAGTACAAATTTTAGCGCAATCAAACTTGGGACCATTACAAAAAGCCAAGTTTGAACATTTTCAAATTTATGACGTCGTTCGCTTCCGAAGCGATCGGCTGCCTCACATGCTTAAATAGCCATGAAGATGATGACCACTAACAGCATGCATATGACCACAACGTTTACAGAGATAGTACAATTCAGTATATGCATTGAATTCATATTTTGAAAATATTTATTTAAGATGGTGCTTATTTTAGAAAATAAATAGGTATGGCAATAAGTAATCATTTTTAATACTGAAAATAAATGCTAATAATGTGAATAAAATCGCATAATTTTTTCGTACGTTGTAAAATATAAAAATAAAGTAATTTTATTAAAAAAACAGTTCCATTGACTCATTTTAAGTGTTTTTTGAAGTATTTTTATTTAGTAATGATAATAAAATAAAATTTGGATGCAAAATTTGAAAAAAATTTTCAGCATGCTCTAAAACACAAAAATAAAGTAGTTTTACTATGAAAGCAATTACACTGACTGACTTTAAGCGTTTTTTACGTATTTTTTATTTAGTAGTGATAAAAAGGTGAAATTGTGATTCAAAAGTTTGCAGCTGGAAATTTTTCATCCGACTCTGACGCACTGTTCGTTCATAATAACAAGTGCCTTTCATGTTCACACCAGCTAATAATTGTAATTCGGTAATTGAAATCTCAATCTCATGTGATAAAAACATGGTTTGGTTTTGTATTGTGAAGTTTTAAAAATTAACGAATGAGTTCCCAAAAACTCACAAAATGTTTGTAAACAAACTAATGAATCGAAGGACAATGCATAAACATTTTTTGCTTGATCACGTGAATGAACCATTGAAAAGAGGATTCTTTATAGAAGCGAGTCGTGTTGAAACATCATTGTTGAAGAAAGCATTGCACTCTACAATGTATAACATTAGAGCTTGCTCTTGGTGCGTTCAATTAAATTAAGTTATTTATATAATTCGTTGGAGTGATAATTCGCAAAAAATTATTTATACACTTGTGGAAATTATTTTTTTTGTGTTAACACATCGTTTAAACATTCCATAATTTTTTTTACAATGAAATCATTTTGAAGCAAATTTTTATAAAAAAATTATTTCTGTTTTCAACCGTAAAAATCATGGAAAATAAATGTAGCAAATTTTGAAAGGAACACGTTGCAGATTGAAATTCAAGGTCAAAACATAAAAATATAAAAAATGTTCGGACGGTAAAAAGAAATTTATCAGCAGAAGTAATGTTGGAAGAAGCAAGTAGTGCAATAAAATTTATGCTTTCCTGCTTGGCGCTCAAAATGGAAAATGATGTTTGGGACTATAAACATTCAGTTAATATTTTCTTCTTGAAACATATTCTTCTGGAAAGTTCATCCAAATGAATTTTAGTGATTACAATTGCTGCTTGATTTTTTACGACTGTAATGGAAATTCAAAAATAATGACAGACTTTGGATCACTTAAAGATCATTCAGCTTCTGAAAATAAAAACTTGATGGCAGATGAGCGTTTCCTGGTACGTGTGGTTGTAGGGAAATTTTATCGATTGTAACAAACTCAATTGGCGTCGTTATTTTCATTATAATTTCTTTCATAAATTGAATTTGAACGAATGATTGCTTACAACTTAGCAAATGTTTCCCAACATAAAATGGCTTGCTGCGTCTGTCATGTCCGCTTTAAATCCATTGAATGACTGAAGTTGAGTTGATTGGTGGAAAAGGATGTTTCCAACTATTTTAAACTGCCACGTAAGCATCTGCTTCAAATGCAACAGTCGTCTATATTCAGCACATGTGCTTGTGTGCGTGCTAGTTACGTTTTGTCGTAGTTGAACGTTGACAACATGTGCCAATGTGTTGAATTAAATCAGCCTTCTTATGACAATTTAATTTTAAATTTTTGTTCATTTTTCCAGAACACAATAACAATGATTATATGCTATGTTGAGAAAATACGATAAATCTTGTGATCAAATTAATAGACATTATAAATATATGAATATTTTTCTGTTTTGACTGTTACGGTGATCAGGCTGGCTCATCTGTGTAACATTACCTAACATCTAACAAGATAGCATGACCAGTAACATAATATTAGCTTCTAGAAAACTTTTTTTGGAGTGCCAGTAGCTATGAGACATCTTCTTTTTTTTCTATCTTTGTTGCTTGTTTTTCTATTTCCTGCTTTTGGATATCCGTTAAACTGCTCCGGCGTTAAAAATGTAACAGGTGTTATATCTTGCATAGCTAGACGTTGAACTAAATTTACTATGAGTAGGATTCAGATGATCTGAAACGGATGGAGAAGGTTTATCAAGAGCAGGATCCAAATGATTAGATGTACAAGGTCCACTAAAAGCAGGATCCAAATGATTAGATGTACAAGGCCAACTAAGAGCAGGATCCAAATGATTAGATGTACAAGGCCAACTAAGAGCAGAATCCGGACGATCTGAAACAGCAGTCGATAAAAAATCTTCATCTGAAAAGATATTACAGTCAAAAGGATAAATTCCAGTTTCGGCGAATCCAGAAATTATGTTTGACGGAGTTACAAATTTTTGGTGTGCGTATCCCACAAAATCTGCAACTTCATGAATACCACCAGGATTAGGATTTCTCACTGACCATGAGTTTATAGCATCATTGTAAAATTTAAAGAATGGATAGTACACAGAAACATCCAATGATTGTACCCGATGAGATGTGTGTGGAGGTATTGTAAGACTACAACACCGTGTTCCTATGAAATATAATAAATACTCAAGTCATTAAAAATGTTTTCTTTTATCTTAAAATTTAACTTTTGCATTAAAACAATGGTTTAGCAGTGATAAAAACTGTGCCCCATCATTGTTGTCTCACTGTACCCCACAGAGTCGATGACATAATTATTCAACGTAGTGCCAAAACCAATTGGAATAAAAGTTTGGCTTCTATGAACTAATTTCTTATTGAAACGTCAAACTTTCAGGTAGGAGTGATCACAGTATCTCGATAAAAAATCTTCATCTGAAATGATATTACAGTCAAAAGGATTGAACAATCACATTCCAAACCAAATATTAACATGTTTAGAAATCTTTCAAAAAATCAAAAATCAGAATTAAAGAAACGAAACTTACGATTTTCATCGCAGAAAATTATATCGAAAACTAGCGGTCCTACTAAAGTACAGATTAGGTTAACTCTATAGAAAAAATTATGTACCGCTTAACAATTATTTGATTTGTCTCATTGCACCCCTTGTCTCAACGTACCCCATCCTTTCTTATTGTTATTTTCGACAAAAATTAAATTTTTTTTCAAAAACGTTAAAAAAAAATGTGAATCGGCAGATTAACTCAGATTAGCTGTAGCCTTAACTTAAACAAATAAAATGAGTTAGTGTTTAAAAAAACATTTCGTGTTTTCTTGAAATGACATACTGTGAGTTCTTTTATGAAAAAAAATAAAGATCAATTTTCAGACTCCTTTTCCAGCCATCCATTATCAATTCAATTCTCAGAAGACTTGTAAACTGTTCCAAACGACTGGCTCTGACACCGCAACATTTCTGGAGACAGTTTGCGACAGACTATTGCAACGTAGACATCGTTCGTCGTTGCTTAAAAGTACATCCAGTCGACACGCAGTAACAAGATTGTTAAGAAGGCAGATTCTAATGTTTGGTACCTGTTTAGAATGCTTGCCTGAGCACGTTAAATGATTGTTGCATTTTGTTACGATCATTCGTAACAAAATGCAATTGTTCTCTATGTAGGCCCTCTCTATGTCGAGGTAATTGTTGTTAACGTTTAATAATAATGTTTACAATTAATTTGTTGAAGAAGAAACATTGTAACATGAAAAATAAACATCAGGATTCAAGCTGTTTACAAATGTAAGTGTACAGTTGTTGATTTTGTCGGCTTCTATATATGTGGTTCTGTGATATTTCTTTACATTATATCGTTGTAGGAAGATAAAAATAGCGAGATATATTTTTGCGCAGTAGCAGAGCGTATAGTGATGTAGCTGTCTTGTTATGCAATCATGTGACAGACTATGAACCGTAAATGAGAACTGATTCCCTTCTTTATGTGGCTTGATTCCGGTTGACTGGGCTCTTCTGACTTCTTTCTCATTAGTATCAAGTGAAATATGCGACAATATATTATTCTCTCCAAATGATCAGTTTGTTTGTTTGTATGTATGCAAAATTGTTTGTAATTAATTTTTTTCCATTTTTGAATAATTATTATCCAAAACAAAATTGTGGAAGCAGAAGACTGCTTTTTTATGTTTTGTATTTTTATCATTTGAGCCATTTACAATTTATAACTTAGCCATAATTATTTTAATTGTAAATTACATTTTTTAAATTATTCCGATCAACATTTTACTTTCATGAAGTCGAATACAGTTTAGTGATCAAATATTGAATTTGTTGTCATAAATAAATAAATAAATAAAATTTGAATTGAACTTGCTGGATGGCAGAGTGGCCAACGTTGAATTCCGGATCTTCATGCGTAGGAGGTACACGTTCTACATCCTGAACGTCATCGTGCCCTCTCTCATGACCTCCATCATCCTCCTCTCCGTCTTCTTCTCCACTCCCGCTCAAAAGGTCAGCTTCCTTCTTTCAAAACACTGGTCAGGTCTCTTCATTTATAACTTTCTTCAGATTTGTTAATTCGTAACTATCGTCAAGTTTGTTGTCTCATGGCCTTCGTTGTCAAGTAGTTGAATTGTTTTATTGATGCTTGTTGGAACAATTTTTGGTTTGTATAAAATTTATATCTTTCTATCGATTAAAATAAAACTTACTGCAAAAAATGACTATGAAGATTTGTAAAAACAAATCTTGTTATCAACAACAAAATCCCAGAGCAATGAAATTAAAAAGTTTTAAAACGAATATCATTCAAAACATTTATTAACCATTCTGTTAACTAACGGAGAAATGATTTTCCATTCATTCCAACGTCTTCACGCAGGTCCAGATCGGAGTAGTCGTCCTGCTGTCCTTCCGGATCCTGTTGTTGAACGTCACAGATAGCATTCCAAAGACATCCGAACACATACCTCTACTAGGTCGGCTCTTTCATTCATTATTATTTTTAACATCACCTTCATCAGTGTTGTAATCATCTAGTTTAACATTATTTTTAACATCAGCTTCTTCAGTGTTGTAATCATCTTGTTTAATCGTTTGATATGCTTTTTCTTCATTTATTATATCAAAATCACTAATCAGGTGTGTGTTACTGGCTAAATATTTGGTTTTTATTATTACGTTACATTACTGTACGTACTAATATATATCTTTTATTGACCAAAAAGATAAAATCAGAATGAAATCAATCGAAAATTATTAATAATTTACAAGAGTTTAAATAAATAAATGTAAATAATTTATAAAATTAATAATAATAATTTATAAAAAATTTATAAAAAAAATAATAATAATAATAGTAATAATAATGATCATGTAATTTTTATAGAGCCATGCCAAGCGACTGACGCGCATTAAAATTTATTATCACAACAAACACACAACGAATAAACACACGTGAATCAACGAACGCATCACACACTTGCATGAGATAGGCGGGGATTTTATTAGATTCAAACCAGGGCACTGCACCTACAATGCCAGGCACCTTAACCATTACACCATCACGGCGTGCATCGCAAAATCATTATCAATATTAGGGAAATCGTAACACTCCAGGCCGACTTGGCATCTCTAGTAAAGTTAAACTCACAGACCGGTCTGGCAAATTTTTTAAGATTAGAGTTAGGGTGAGGGTTCGTTTAGATTTGAAGGTTGAAAAACGTAAATACAAACTACGAAGAGAGGAGGAGAGGAGGAAAAGATTGCTTTTTATTCATATCTTTCTCGGTCTTCCCTCTTTTCTCTCCTCTTTATTATCATGCTTCTGTCGTGTTTTTCATAATTTTATATTTCAATTTTTAATTTTTTCACATAATCATTTTTCCTTTCTCTGTCCCTGCTCTAATAATAATAATAAAACGTTGCAAAACAAATCAATAAACCATTGATGGATGGATGGTTGAGTGGATGAATGGATGGTTGAGTGGATGGATGGAAGTTTGGGTGGATGGATGGATGGTTGGCTGGTTGGATGGGTGGTTGGGTGGTTGGGTGGGTGGATGAATGTTTGAGTAGATGGATGGATAGCTGGGTGGATGGATGGTTAGATGGATGAATGGATGGTTGAGTGTATGGATAGGTGTTTGGTGGATGGGTGGATGGATGGATGGATGGTTGAGTGGATTGATGCTCTGTTTAAACTTTTAGAGCAGCATTTCTATAGATTATATATATTACAATGGAACATTTATGAATGCATATATATGTGCTTGTAATGTATATGCAGTGTATTCATTGACGAATGGGTGCATGCCGGCACTGAATGGTGCACGCACTTAACTGAACTGACGTGCAGCAATGATTTAATGCCTGGCTGTTTACGTACCGGCGGGTGAGTTATTCATCAAAAAGTTCCGAGACTTTGTTTGAAAAGTTTGACGAGTTGAATTGAAGAATTGAGGCTAAAAATTGAATACTATTCAGTTCATTAAAATTCAAATTATTGAAAAAATATTTTAATAAACTGCATGTTTTATTTTTATCTCAGAAGTGGCTGACAAACTTTCAAATACTTTATCATTTTTGGTTGAAAAGTTTTAAAAAATTAATTTATCAACTTTACCTGTCGATCAGACTTTGATAAGAAAAACTTCTCTCCGTTTGATAGGCTGCAACGTTCAACTTGTTTGTTACATTGTTACAATCTGCCAGCTCTCATGGAAAAAAATGAAAAAGCACTTAGGTTTTGACTAAACTAATTGAATGGTTTAGAGTGAAACTTTTAAATTTCGTTTTTGTTCTTTAAATATATGATTTAGTTTGGAAAATCAAACAATGAAAACCACGCGTGTAGCAACCTGCGCAATGTAATAATCAATGAATCCACATTATTGTAGGAGGTAAGTAAATTATTCACTGTAACCTTTTTTGTAAAAAAAAGGAACAACAAATTGCAATGAATAATTTGAACGATTTGTGCAGCTACAAGTCAAATTGATTAAAAAATATTTGGCTCATAAAAAACTACTCCATTCTGATATCTTAAACAGCTTCAAGAATACATTTTTTCTGAAAGATTTAAAATTGAAACTTGAAATTACTCCCAACAGATGATAATATTAGATTGTAAGTTTGAAACTGTGCTCCACAATTGTTAAACATTTATAGTTTAAAAAATCAACATTAAATCTCAAGTTTAAACAGTTTGATTGGTAAGTTCGCATGATGTTGATGAATTGTACTTGAAGTGATCGATTGGTTAACAAACGTTTTTAATTAAGATTTCATCTCCTGATTAAACAACCCATAATTCAGGCCGATTGGAATTCATTCATTCATTCGTTCGTTCGTTCGTTCATTCATTCATTCATTCATTCATCCATTCATTCATTCATTAGATCAATCATTTGTTCAGTCATTTATTTTTCTATCCATATATATATAAGTTTCTATAATTCATTTAAAAAATTAATTCTCAAGCGGAAAATCACTCCAGCATGGAGTTTAGCATGAAGTGCTGTTTAATCTTAAATTCTCGTCTAGCAATAAATTAGATGCAAGTGTGTCAATCACGTTGAATGACGCGAATGAAGTTTATGAAGTGAAATACGCCAAATGAACAAATTGAGGGCCCCCTCGATGTCTGCCTCTTCCCTTCTAAAATTGGAGGTGCACTTTTAAAATCTGAAATAAAAATGACATATGTTGTGACGTTTTTAAGGCAGTATTTATTTTCCTAACAAGGCTTCTGATTTATTTTTGGAAAACAAAATTTTGACGATGATGGAATGGTAAAAATTTTTTAAAATTCATCAAGTCGATACTATGCGAGGTGGCACACGAAGTGAAAAACCTTCACGTGCTACAGAACTGAAAACTGAGCAACCCAATGCCAGAATTAAAAACAGATCGTGAATTTATAAATGTTAATCACAAGTGAATTTTTTATTATATAACATCAATAGAAACCCAATGCCTTAATGCAAAAAATTTTCTGAAATTTTTTTACCAACCAATTAAATATCATGTCATCACATCATTGCACAAAACATTTGTTCAAATAAAAACTTTACACTCTGCAATAATAATCGTAAAAACGCATGTAAGAAAGAGCTGAATTGCAAATTATTAAGAAAGAAGTTTCCTCGCGTAGGCTCTACTGGTGTGGGCTGAGTGATGAGTTCAAACAGGTTAGCTATGTTGCAAATTAAACGATTAACTAATAAGAGATGATGATGATTACTGTGGTTACAACGATTATAATGATTGTCCTGATGACAATCTTGTTACAGAAGATGATGATGATGATGACGATGATGATGACGACGACGATGATGATGATGATGAACATACACAGGTGTGTACCTGACCTTGACGATGGGAATCACAACTCTGAGCATGGTACTGACAGTGTACGTCCTCAATTTGTACGCCGTGACAGACCGACCCGTGCCACGCTGGGCAGAAGAGCTGGTATCAAGTGAGCCGCTCCTACCTACCTACCTACATCTCCTTCTTTTTCTTTTATTATTTCACATTTGTAACGTTAATATTATATTGCATTTATCTTTTAATCACATTTTCCCCGTTACTTTTGCACGCATATTCGTTGTTCTAGTTAGCAAATTAGGCTGTTTGTTACTTCAAACGTTAAATTGTTACTTGTTTACAGCAGAAAAGCTAAAGTTTTCTTCAGTGGTTTGAAGGTTTTTACGATGTGAATAATTTTTTAATGGTGAAACTATTTCAACATTTGAACCACGAACCTGTATCTTGGGGTATGCAAATGATAATAAAATAAACCCTGGGGCAACATGGTTTATTTGATCGTTTTAATTTTTAAGTGATGTCATTGTTTCATCTATGGCATCATTAACTAATTGATGGTAATGCACGCTATTTTAGTTTCAAAACCGTAAAAATAAAATTAAGAAGAAATCTGACAACTCTTCTTACGTTAAAAATGACTTTATTTTTCAGCAGTGATGAGAGCCTTACGAATTTGGTGCTCCGTCGCTTGTCTTATAGAAGTTTAATAATTTCTTTCAATATTTTAAGTTACTACTATTCAAAGCGTATAATTATCATCAACATTTTAATTGTTGTAAAATATATTGCTAAGAAACGATTGTGCTGTATTTTTGGAATCCTCTTGAAGTTTTACATCTAAAATAATTTAACTGAATGGACAGGCTGTTAGTCAGAGAAAGAATTTTTTAATAGATTCAAGTTTTTGATGGATAAATCTCAAAAAGTGCCGCAGCAAATTTAAAATCCTGACAAGCAATTAGAATTAGAGTTCAATAAGAAATTCGATGTGAGAGGGTTTTTCATTTCTTCATATTAGCGTGGCTAAAAGTTGTGAAGGGACAAATACACACGTGAACTGACAATAGCAACATTGTATGATTTGCACAAACACGGAGAGATGTGGAGTGGAGCCCACAAAAATCGATAGTCGAGCCAACGTTGTTCGGGCGTGATTTTGTCGATAAATTCCAAATCGATAGCAATAAGTGAAGAACTGATTTTAAAAATTTTATCATTTTTAAACTTCCAGTTGCAAGTTATTTTTTTGCGTTACAAATAATTGCGTTGAGCATTGAATATTTAAAAATTGTTTAAACCTCAAGACATTATTTTGAATGAGATGAGGTGTATGTATTATAAAAATTGTGCCCGAAACTACAGGAAATGTTGATAACGAAGGTGTGCGACTTGCTTGAATGATGTCATATCATGTAAGGAATGACACACTTTTGCAAAAATATTCAACAGTATATAATTAATTGTAGCATTAATATATTTAGCATCAATCATTTGACACTTTGCAGATTATCTGGCTTATTTAGTTTGCATGCGTCGGAAAAAGAAGGCTATCGAGGAAGAAGACGAAGAAGAAGAAACGTGGAGTCCAAAAGCGCACGTAAAAAGCAATCGATTTGCCGTTGAACCACTTGAATATTCCAACAAAAACCGAAATAAAATCGTTGCCTCATCGAACACATTAATAGCATCTTCAAGCATCTCTAAGACTACCGAGCACAGCACGGCCTCACACACGAACCGATTCAACAACCACAACAGCCACCAACGACGACACTCTGCGAAAAGTAACCGCATGCGTCTCAATAGCGTCGAGCTGATCAAGCTGAGAGAGACTTTGTGGGCTAAAGAGTGGCGAAAAGTTGCTGAAATCGTCGACAGAATGTTTTTTTGGATTTTTTTGATTGCAATAGCAGCTAGCACGTTGTATTTGTTGCATCCTTGTGTCGTATGAAGTTCCACTCTGATGTTGTGTGTGTTCATTCTGTCGATCCGTTCAACCATGGTATTCAATAAAAACCAGAAACTGTCCGCTGTGATTTAATTATTAGCTTATTAATTAATAATTATTTTTTATCATTTATAGCTAATATTTTTATTATAACCACATGCACCATTACTCATAATTGAATGGAAATGTTAATTGTTAGATTATCAATTTCAATTTGGTTCAATCGGCCATACTCGCACACCTCAAACCATGTACAGCTCACTGAAATTCATTATGTAAGAACGAGCGTATGATAAAGTTATCACGGTCACAATTCAGTCTCTATAATTAAAAAAAAATTTAATCGCTTTTTTTGAATTCCTAATTTGCACAACAAGTTTTTAAGCACTTTTAAGCATGGAATTTGTTTGAATCTTTTCAACATTTATTAATTTATTTACGGCAATAAAATCGAGAATAAAACTAATATATGAATAACTACTATAGTATAAATACACGTAGAAATTCGTAATAGCAAAAATTTTATTTCTACAGGGCTACGATTTGTTTGTTTGGGGTAATGTCTGAAAAGTTGTGTATGTTATACAATATACAATGTATACGTTATACAATATTGAATAGAAAATTATATTTTACAATCAAATGTGAGAAATTCAGCATTCAACCTACTAATTCAATCGATAAAGTGACATAACACTGGGTCCGTTGTTTTTCGTAATTTGTTAGAGAACTCTAGATCTCGAAACTAAATTTTCTAACTAATGTGTATAAAAGATAAAAATTATAAACTGTTACCAAAGTAGTTCAAGCTGTAAAATTTGCATTCACAACGAAATTTCGAATAAAATAAAGTTTAAACCTTGGATGATAAAATTATAAGATTATTTTGGTTATAAAGTTTTTGGGCATCAGGTTTTGAGGAGCAAGTTGTTGGAGTTGGCAAAGAAAAATTCTGAGGCTAATAGACCAAGATTATACAAAAACAAAAAAAGCTTTTGAGTAGGGGTATGATCGACACTCTGATGTTTGTAAAAAACATTTAATCGTTTATAAAAATATCGAGTTCTACTTTCAGTCCTTGCACTTTGGGATATATTCAAATAAATAATTGCCTAAATTAAAAAATATCTCTGCAAGATTCAATATCTTGTTATCTTGTCATTCTTGTTAGCTTATAAAAATTATTATTATTATTATTATAAGAAAACTTGTATAGCGACTTTTATAGAACTACCCAAAGTCGCTATCCAACATAAGCAAAATAAAAAAATTTTGTCCATTTAAGTAATCAAACAAAAGCATAAATATTTCGAAAATAAACATAAGTATACATTGTAAAAAGAACTAAAACAAAACAGATAAATCCTTTAAATTCATGCACAGATGCACACATATACTCTCGACCATACCCAATCACTCAAAGTAATGTAACAACCATATAAGAACCAAACAGCAACCATTTTAAACCAAATCATAGATACATTCATCCACACTTTATCCACACCAATCACACACAATTACGCTAAGAAGATGCACGATAACATATCATTCAGAACAACCAACAGATAAATACCCAACCACCAGCACAATAATTATAAATCGATTCAAATTATTAGAAACACACGAAACACACACATCTCATCACATCCAAAACAAATAAAAAAATAAATAAAAAACAGCATAAAACAAATGAATGTTCCGTTATCGATAAGCTACATTCATAAACAACAAAAGCAACATGCAACATACTATTCACAACTTCAATTAATCTTCAAAACAGGTGTGTTTTCAATTCTCTCCTAAACTGCAACAGTGACATCCCTGGTCGACGAATGACGTTTGGAAGACTGTTCCATATTTTCGTACCACATACAGCAAAGTTACGAGACCCAATCTTCAATTTTGACACCCGATCTGTCAAGTAATTCTGATCGTTTGATCTCAAGACAAAATTCTGAGCAGTCATATCTTTGAGTGTAAACATCTCCGTCAGATATCGTGGTGCCAAAGCATTTAAACACTTGAACATTAATAAGCAAATTTTAAAAACAATCCTCTTTTCAATTACCAACCAGTGCAAATCCTTAATCAATGGATTCACGTGATCATACTTTCGTCCACCCATTACTACTTTAGCTGCTCTATTCTGTACAGATTGCAACAGTGCAATTTCATTCGCTGAAACACCATAAAGTAGGCTGTTGCAGTAGTCCAAACGTGAGGTGGACAAATGAATGAACTAAAGCCATCAAAGCGGGCTTGCTGACGAATCTCTTAATGCGCTGCAACTGACGTAGATGAAAACAACATGACTTTACGACACCCCGTATATGATCCTGCTTGGTCAGATTAGCATCAAGTGTGAAGCCCAGAATTGTGGATGATCATTCAAATTTAACAATGGCATCATCCATTTCTAATACATCTCGATGTATTTTTGATGTCTGCTGCCATGTACCATTAGCACTAACTTGGTTTTATCTTTGTTCAATTTTATTCCATTTCCCTGCAAGATTCAATATCTTGTTATCTTGTCATTCTTGTTAGCTTATAAATATGTTGACACTAAAATAAAATGACAAATTTTTTTACAGTGGATTTAAGAACAGTCTTGATTTTACAATAGTAAACTCCAATTCAAAGTTTTTACATCAGAACAAATGAATTTTGAAGCTAGAGAAGGTCTGGGGCCATGTTTATAAAATTAGATTCATAGCTATAAGTTTTTTCGTTTTCATTTTTCAGTTAAAATTATAAAGTTGAATCAAATACAATTTTTAAAATAAAAAAACCTTTTTTTACGATTTTTTTTAAACGATTCACGTGTTTGGTAATATGGTGATAACGTTATATATGTTTTAGTAGTATAACATAATATGTGACGGTTAATTTTATATTCAGCCTGATCAATCAATTTTTAATAAAAATCATTCGAAAGAGTTCAGTAACAACATTAACGATCTGGTTCAAAATTGCATGCAACATTTTAGTTAAGAAAAGTTCCTGAGATGAAAACAATTATAACGCATTATTTTAAAAATTTAACATTTATCTCTAGTAAGATTTCTCTAAATATCGCGGAATGTTACCAAAAATTCAATTAGGAAAAATTATTACCAGAATTATTAGAATCAGCAATTTGTGATCTTTCCATACCAAAGTTTAAATCTTGGTGTGCCTTGTTTTGGAATGTGGTAGATGTTTACGTGGTTCATGTGCTTTCACAGGCCTGCTGCTTACAACGTCCTGTGGTTGGTGTTGACGTTACAGCTATTTATTCTGAAAATTTTATTTGAAACTATTTAGAGAAAATCAATTTGTAATTAGCTCACTGTTAGTTAGAGCTGAATAACAAAAACAAATAGAAGCTGGCAAGTGAATTATTTAAATTTTCATATTACGTTGAATCAACAATCTATGTACATTTATATGTACAAAATCGCCTACAAATTGGGCCGCATACGACTTCCTTTTGACAAGACTGTCCACAACACAAGCTACTGAATGACAAAACTGCATAGTTAGGTCGATCGTAACAACAATTGACGAGAAGTTAGAGTTTGCTTGTTGCATTGTTATCAGCGGCCATCTCTTGCTTCATGTTACCAGGCTTGTGTTTGAATCATTTTTAAAAGTTCGTACCAGCATTGAATCAAACTTTGAGGGATGTGACGACAAGGAGGTTGATTAAAGATGTGACTAATTTTAATTGGTAGAAGCTTCAGCACAATTCTTCGAAGCAAATTCTACAGAAAGTTAATATTGACAAGAAAGGTTGCTGTTCGTGCAATAGTGCAGTAATATTGTTCGCAATGGTGATGTGAACTTTTGCTGTGCGGCTGAAACCCTTCCTTCCTTGTACATCAACTAACGCCGCCTCCAGCCTAGGCAGTCTCGCTTCTGGCCGCGTCTCGCCTCTTCACAATGGGTTGTCTCCGGGTCGGAAAACACAGGCCAGGCGGAAGAGCCTTTGCTTCTTGTTTGTCAATCGACTAATCCGGCCTTTCAAACAGTTGACAAGTCTTCTTTTGACGTGTTTTAGATAGAGACGAACTAACAAAAACTAATTGAAACAAAACAAACAAAAAATTTACAATATTCTTCAAAATAAATGCAAGTCTTCAAAATGTTTCAAATTAACTAATTAACGAAATTAAATCTTCTAAACGGAATAAATAAATGAAAACCAAAACGCAGACCAATATCCAAACTATATCCAATTAGAAAACGAACTATAAACCATGCTGGGGGAAAAAACGACATGAAAAAAAGCAGGAACCCTGTTACATTGTCCAACACGCTTGCATATTAATACTAAACCAAACAAAACTAACAGAGAAACCATTCAGTCTCAAACATACTCACACATCCTTACTATCAATTCGTCTGCATTCGTACAATATCGTACCGACATGCACAATTGCACACGTAAATTTTTTTGGAAGTTGCGTAACAGCGAGCTATGTAGACGATTTTAGATCCATCCTGAAATTAATTGGTTAATTCATGAAAATACATTACCTGAATCAAAACAAAAAATGGATAAAAATTTCTTAAAAAATTATTATAGATAAAGCTAAAATAAATGTCAGTTTCTGGAAAGTTTTTTATATGCCATGTCACCGTCATTTGAGGAATAGTAATTTATTTCCATTCATTTTATTTGTTATATTTTATTTTTATATTATTAATTATTATTCATTATATTCGTCAATCAAAGGTTGACTGATAATTTTTAACGTTGTGGTGATATGCCATTTATATCGTTATCATCGTGTTCGTTATTGTCGTAATTTTTATAAAAAAAAATTCTGTGCAACTTGCGTTTGGTTGGCTTTGTTTCTGTCGCAAGCTTTTTCAAACTGCAATACATTAGACGACCAAATGAACACGGAAATGCAGCACTATGTACGTGTGTGTACGTGTGTGTACGTGTGAGTGTGTGTACGTGTGTGTATGTGTGTACGTGTGTGTGTGTGTTGTGTGTACGCTTGTGTTTCTGT